ACACATCGTTATCTACTCCAAATTCTTGGGCAAGCTATAAAATGCAACATATCTAAGCCTGGTAGTGACAACTGCATTTTAAAGAACAATCTTGTGCCAGCAGCACGAATGTACATATATTGAAATGTAAGCAAGATGAGGTCATTTCACTCAACTATATCTACACTTACTAAGAGATGTCTCATCAATAGAATTCAATTCACATTTAACACAGTAAATACACACACACACACACACACACACAACATTTATTTTAAATATGTTTCTGCCACTGATTCCCCAAGACTTGAGCAGTTATCAGAAACATCGTAAGGAAAAATACTTCAATAAAAATAAATTCACTAAACAAAATAATTTTAAAAAGCTCAACAGCAACATAAGGATTTAAAAAAAAGATTAAGTTATGTATCCACTAATTCATCCCAGCAGTGAAAACATGTCTTCATCCTGGGCAAGATAAAAAAGCCAAGTCTTTTAAGCGCTGCTTTGAAATCCATGAGGGAAAAAATAAGACTAAATCTCCATAGAGAGGGAGTCCCAAACATAAGGATGATTTTAAAAAACACACATCTCCCAGATGGCATTCTCAGAATTGCCATACTAAAATGATACACCAAACATAAGTTTATCAAGCGCATATTAGTTGTTTCTTATAAAATGCATGAATATAAATTGAATAAAATGGTGTAAGAAAAATAAAATAATTATCATAAATCACTTAACATCCCCATGTGGTTTCAGTTCTAAGTCTACTCAACAGATAGATGTTGAGATTAGTGGCTCTTCAACCAACACATCCACAAGTCCAATCAGCGCTGCATAAATTAGTGTATTCATTTCTAAAACCTGAGTTTCATACAAAAATCAGACTTTTCGATGTCTTGTTCATTACGAATTTGAAAGTCATTCTGGAAGTCTTTCCAGCTGAAAAACAGGCTAAACATGCTTTAGGGAAAAGAGCATTAAGTCTGACAGGGAAGAAGCTTGAAATTATTATTGCCTCCAGTCACTTCGTTCTGTGAGGAAAACTTATTGCAAAACAAGTTTTGCTCCCGCAAAGCGAGGTGCTGCTCTTCGACGGGAAGGGAGCACTACGCGCAACAAGGTTGGTCTTAAGAAACGGGAAGCACGGGATGACAAAAGGTGAAGGAAAACGCAGGAGCCAAACCAGGGGAAAAGGGGGTTCTTAAAAAAAAAACAAAAAAAAAAACGAGGTAAGGAAATATTGCCGGAAATACAAGCAGAAAAATCACTACAGAAAGTCAACGTGGTGGAGTAACTTTCGCGGCGCGAGCCCGTGGGGTCCACGCTTCTCTCTCATAAATCCTTTTTCTCTTTTTCTCATCTCACCGCGCGATCATTTACCTCAACTCGCTCGCGGCGCGAGGCAACCGACTGGCCGCGCCACATACCCCCGGCTCGCGGGATCTTTCCCCCCCCCCCCCCCCCCCCCCCAACGGTCGTTGCCGAATGCCGCTTCAGCCACGCGCCCGCGAGAACGCGGCGGAGGCGGCCACAGGATGCTCCCCTTGCGGAAACTCCCGATTCCCGCTCGATTCCATTCTCGCCGCCTAGCGCCGCAACGCCCGGCGCGCTCTTGTTAGTTTCGCTCACCTTTTAAATTTTCCGCCATCTTAAACATTTTTTTTTATTTCCCTCCACCCACCGAGGCCGCCAGAAAGTTTTCATCTCACAAGAATGGGAGCTGGAGGCGGATCCAGGCAGCCTCCGAAGCTTCGCCTTTTGAGGAACGGGCTGTCGGACCAATGGGGAGCGCGGGCCCCCGCTTAGGCCCCACCCTACAAGGCCTTCCCTTGGTTTCCTTTCTGACTCGCTTCGCTTCCTCCCGCCGGGCATGAGGCTCTGGTTGCCGCTCGGCGCGAACGAAAAGTAAAACTTTGGCACCGCCTCCAGGCGCTTTTCAAAGCTGGAGCGTGTGGTAGCTTGGCCGTTTCGAAACGTTGGTCTCTAAATCTTTTTCCTTTTCTCGCTCGTACTTAGGAGGAGATATGAAATAGAAATGGGGTACGAAAACTAAATATTCATATTGACACTTTCTTTTGTCTCCTGAGAAAGTTGCACCCGAGCACGAGGGTATCTGAAAGATGTAGAACATTTATGCATTTATGCTATAATAAGGAAATGGGGGGGGGACGGACGGATTATGTTCACGTTACTGATCCTAATCGTTTATGAGACAGTTGTGTTTAAAATGCCAACCTTTGTTCCTGATTACATTTTCTTTTTGCCATAGAGCCATGGAAAAACCATGAATTTAAGAAGACACGGGCTGGAGAAAGGAACATTTTGCAGCTAGAGAGAGACCCCACTTAATTTAATTAAGCATTGTACTGCTGAATTTCAATAGGCACTGTAGGGAATAAATGTTGTATAGTTGGTTGTGGTTGCCTACATTTTTTCCTTCTTTACAATCATTAAATATTTTATAACCATTTGTTTTTAAAAGTTACAATTTTTTTTCTATAGTACTTTTCTCGGTTTCAGCTCAACTAATGAAAGGTATGCATTGGTGATCAATACATTTTTCCCTAATATAAACAGAGATCTAATCAAATTGTGTTTTGTTACTAAAGATAATACTTGGTCACGACCAAAAGTTGTTTGGTAGCAACTTGATTCCAGAAAGTTTTCTCAGCTTAGCAAAATAATATTGTAGGCAGAAAGCACCAAATAAAATATTCTGTATAGAGAAACGTTTATGCTATGTAGGTAGTCCTCAATCTACAACCACAATTGAGTCCAAAATTTTTGTTGCTAAGCAAGGCAGTTAAGTGAATTTTGCCCCATTTTATAACCTTTCTTGCCACAGTTAATTGAATTACTGCAGTTAAATTAGTGTAACAGTTGTTTAGTGTATCTGACCTCCTTATTGACTTTGTCAGAAGGTTGCAAAAGGTGATCATATGACCTTGAGACACTGCAACAGTCATAAATATGAACCAGTTGCCAAGTGTCTGAATTTTGATCATGTGACCATGGGGAAGCTGTAACAGTCATAAATGAAAAAGTCATAAGTCACTTTTTCAGTGCCTTTATAACTTTGAATGGTCACTAAATGAAGTGTTGAAAGTCGAGGACTATCTGTAAATGCACACTTCACATTCCCAAGGGCTACTCTAAATCTATTTTATAACCCAAATTGTTGGATTTTGAGCAGTTATAATTTTTTTCATGAAATATTGTTACAATTTCAAAGACAATGGGAAGGATATATTTAACTTATTGGGCAATATACCCAATTGGCTTCTGTACCAGCTTTGGGGGTAGATGGTAGAACCGTAGTAGAATCCCATATACCGTATTTTTTGTATTATAAGACGCATACTAGCTTTAGAGGAGAAAAACAAGGGGGAAAAATCTTCTACCTCTCAGCATCCACCCGGTATTCATCTGGCTCGCATTCTTGCAGCAAACAGCCTGGTCAGCTTCAGCATGTTATCGCAGTCCCAGCACATGGCTCCTCAGGGCTCCGCTCCGTTGCACCCATCACCAGTCAACTGAGCTGAGATGCTGTCATTGCAGGGAACACTGGAGCCTTCGCTGCTGGGCAGCCGATTGGCAGTTGGATCGGCCTTCCGGAATACCACTGATCAGCTGTTCTAGGTGGCAGTGACCATCGCCTATTGCCCCCCGTTCACCGCCAATCAGCAGCAAAGGCTCCAGTGTTCCTCCATTGGTGGCCACACACCAACCCCCCTCCCCCCACGGCAATATTCGCTCTATAAGATGCACAAACATTTCCACCACTTTGGGTGGGGGAGAAAAGTGTTATAGTGTGTGTGTGTGTGTATATATATATGTGTGTGTGTGTGTGTATGTGTGTGTATATATATATATATATGTGTGTGTATATATATATATATATACATATATATACATACACACACACATATATATATATATACACACACACACAAAATACAGAAGCCTGATGATGGCAGATGAGATTCTGCCGAAACGTTGCTACAACTTTAAAAGCACAACTACAATGACGTGGGAAAATACCTGAACAAAGCTGAATACCATACATGTAAGTACCCGCAAAAACTTAAGAAAACATATATATGTATACTATGTATATATGTATATTCAGATAACCAAATCAGCACCGCAATTATCTGTTTGCATCACAATCCATGTTTGTTGCTAAAAGTTTGTGAAATAGTCTGATTTCCCCATCCTTCATCTCTTCAAATAATTATGAAATCTTAATTTGTCCCACCCAGTTTGGTCTCATGAGTGCAAAGATCCATTTTTAAATTGTCTTAACTGACACTGAACTGGGAGTGAAATATTTGCTGGTAACTCATTTTCAATTGGTCAGAACAATCTTGCTCCATTCTTCCGTTACTATTTGATCTTTGGGTTGTTATTTCTAACTCCTTGTGTTTATCTCCTTGATCTAACTCTACACACTGCAAAATTGGGTGGTTATCTTTACCATTCAATGTTAGAACCATGATTTTCTAAATTGTAAAAAATTAGGAATAAATTTCTATAGTCTCAACAGCTGTCTGGAAGAATTCAGCACTCTGAGACTAATGCCATATGACAAGTAGAAAAAATGGAATCCTGTTGTAAATCAATCTTCAAAGATTTTTGTTATATTAGGTTGAAAAGAGACAGTTCTTTACAACTTAAAAACTGAGGTATCTCTCCAAAGATTTAAGTTGTGATGTATTTGAATTGAAATAATGGATCTTGTGATGGTTGTTTACATTGTCTAAATAGTCTCCATGATGCCTAAATTTCAAAAATTGAACCTGAAGTTACTCTGAGGAGCTAGACAAGGGGTCAGCAACAGAGCACCCCAGTGCCTTAAATAGTATCCAAACTCTTCTACAATTAAACTATTTTTAAATGGCCAAAATCTTATATCGGAAGAGAATATCATGCAATTTGATAATTTAATTTCAGCCAATATTTTAAAAAGTAGACTCAAACTAAGTTTAGAATGAATTTTTATTTTTAATCTAATAAACATATCCATATAAAAGTACATTTCCTTTTCCTGAAGAGTACATGAAATGAGGTTTTCCCATCTTCTCTTATTCTCAGTCAATAGCCCCCATTCCAAAAGTGCTACCATTCAGATAACAGTTTCTATAACCTCAAGTAGTACAGCAAAATTCTTCTATGTGTGCTAATTTGAATGCAGGAGTAGCTGGAAAACCATATGACCTCAGAATGATGGTCTAAGGAGAAGAATGACAAATCACTCCCTCTTTTGGGAATAAAAGAATATATCAGAATCAAATCCATTGAAAATGCCATAATTTCCAGTACATGTGTGACATGCATGTATGTGTGTATATATGTATGCATATATGTATATATCAGTTCATGCTGGTAAATAAAGCAAATGTTTGTGGTAAAGAATAGAAGTCAGTTTCCCCCTTCTAGTGCCAATGCATTCTTTTGAAAGATGAGCAAACAATTTAAATAATTAAAGTTTCAGTATGAGTTAACAACATTCAAAGGATTTTATATCAAAAAAATAAAGAGAACTTGCTTACATTCTTGTCATTCTCATGCCTGCATTTGGGCTTCAAAAGTTCGTGGGGGAAACACAATTAGGTAAGCAAAAGAAAGGTTCAAGAAAGGGTTGGCTGAAAGATAATACAACCCTTAGAAAAATATGCAGGAGATTATGAATGGTCAAAATTGGAGGGCTCAAAGAGATAGAATTACAACCTTACTTTCTAAAACTGTCAAAGGCATCCAGGTGCGCAGGTGAGGGAGGAGAATATGCTTAGGCCTAAGTGATTTTGAAAAGGAGGATGGGAAAATAACCCCTTTGCTACCCTCATTGAAGCAGACTTCCTCTGCCTTATTCCAGAAGTATCTGCAGAGATGGGGAGGGAAGAATTATGGAAGAGTCATCATCCGATTAAATGCCTCTGGCAACAGGCTGAAAGAAGGATCAAAACTTGGTGTCGGGTGCATTTCTAGGCTCAGTCATCCCATTCATCGTCGTCATCTTCATCGCCATTGTCTTCATCTTCATCTATGAATAAAGTAGAATAGGAAAATGCAGTAGAACAGGGACTCAAAGCTGTTTAGCATTTCAGGAAAGTCAGCACACCAGCTTCTCAGAGCTATATATGGATGTGCAAATACAGATCTCCCTCTCCAACACTCATTTCAGTTGACTTGATCCCCATGTCTTTTGATCCAACACCAGGGCTGAACACAGCCTGAATTGAAGTTGAAGTTCTCACAAAATGGCATTGGATCTTCCTCAGAGCTTTGCTTTGTTTTTATAGTTCCAAATAATCACAAAGCTCTGAACATTTGGAAGCTTGAGAAATTATATGTAAGTGTATAAATCTGAAAGTAAGAAATATCATATGGATGAACGCAAGACTCACCTGAAGAGTGGATGACTTTGCTCCTCTTTTGCATCACATTCATAAGAGCCCCTACCAGGCCTTCAGAACTCTGCATGGAAGGTGAAGAGTCCACAACATCGGGTGTCTAAAATGCATGAAATATATATATAAGAAAATATATACACTATACTACACAGGCATCACATCAAGACTGCCTTCAAAACAGACAGAAAAATAGCAGCCATCCTAAGAAACCCCAAAGATAAAATTGACCTGGAAAACCAAGGCATATATGAAGTTCCCTGTGCATCATGCCCAGCCACATACATTGGACAAACCAATAGAAGAATAAGTACCCGCCTGGATGAACACAAAAAATGCAGTAAAAAAGCTGGAACACACTTCCTCACTAGTCCAATACATGAAAGCCACAGGTCATAGCATCGACTTCAATGGCACCAAAACCCTAGCCACTATAGAAAACCCCAGCCACAGAATTATCAGAGAAGCCATAGAGATTGAAAAAAGACCTGAAAGCATGAATAGAAGAGATGATTCCACCAGACTGTCAATTATTTGGAAGCCTGCACTCACAAACAAAAAAATCTCCACACCACAAGCCAGGCAAACACCTGGGCACAAACAGATCCCCCCTGATACCTCCAGCTCAAACACACCCCAACCAGGCACCCCGATGAAATCTAGCTTCCTAATAAATGATAGCCGTCCATTTACTCGGAGCCAAGCCGCACTAAAAGCCTCCAATACAGGAAACACAATGTTGCCAGCCAATCAAGACAAAAAAAGCTACAAAACAGACAGAAGATATTAGAAACACCAATCAAGCAGAACACAGCAAACTCCAAGACAAATAAACACAGACCAAGACTCCCAACCAATCAGGATGAAGAAAAAACCATTCCGGCACAGCAGTAGGCTAGCCCCAAATTTAAAACTGAAACGGCTGTGAAAGTCTGACTCACAGACGAACACAATACAGAAGCCTGATGATGGCAGATGAGATTCTGCTGAAACGTTGCTACAACTTTAAAAGCACAACTATAATGATGTGGGAAAATACCCGAACAAAGCTGAATACCATATATACGTATGTATGTATGTATGTATGTATGTATGTATGTATGTATGCATTTATTTATTACTTTTATTCTGCATTTATTATTGTTTGCAAATAACTCAAGGCAGTGAATGTAACTAATATTCCTTCCTCCTATTTTTTCCACAAGAACCACTGGGAGGTGGGTTGAGCTGAGAGAGAGTAGTTGGCCCAATGTCTCCCAGTGCTTTAGTGATACAGGGTTTCCTATGCTGAAGCTCTCTATAGAACTCTTACTAAGAATTTGCAGTTCCTTTTGTGCTTCTTGAAAACTGAACGGATAAATTAATATTACGTAAGTGGATATAAGTGGCAATCTTAGTATTTTTGAAGCCTCAGGAACATGCTAGACTTGTGTCAACTCAGGTTGCAAACAACAGAGAAAGTACCATAATTAAATACAATTCCATATATAAATATTACTTCTATCTAGCAATCTAGATATTAGGTGAAGAAGATTAGACCAGTTTTCCTTTGATTTGCTAGTTTCCAAAAGATATACAACAACCAACCTTTAGTATACTTTTAATGTTGATTTTAGTTTTGTTTTTGTTTTATTGTATTTATGTTATTGTTTTCTATTCTGTAATTTTATCTTGTTTGTAAGCTGCCTTGAGGGTCAAAATAACTAGAAAACTGTGCTATACATTATAATAATAAAAGAAATAAATAAAATTCAAAACAAGACCATCTCACCTTGTTGAGCTGTATTCCTTGGCGTATCTGGTCCAGCAGCGCACCACGCCCTGAAGAGACAGCAGGCGGCTGGGTCCTCAGTGATCCAGGCCCTCCAGAAGGAGGAGGGGGAGGGGGGCATGGTGCAGAATTCTGGAATGAAGGAGGGGGTGGGGGTGGCGGAGGGGGTGGGGGTGGAGGTGGGACTGATGCAAATGGAGGCGGGGGAGGAGGATGTGATCCAGAACGTGAAGTGGGTGCAGGTGGTCCCCACTGGGGGCAGGGAGGTTGCCTAGAAGAAGGTTGTGGTGGGGAGGGGACATCTCCCCTATTTGACATCATAGGAGCCCCTGGGAGAGGTGGTAAGGGACCACTTCGGCCTTGCCCACGGGGGGGGGGAGGGGGGCTGGGGGGGGGGGGGGGGGGGGGGGGGGGATGACTTGGACCTGGAAAAAAAAGTAAATATGAACATTCAAACTCATGATACTGGAGTGCTAAATCGCATAATAAACAGTAAGAAGAACCAATGTTCTGTATAAAGACAAAAATGATGGGTTGCACCAAGCCTACGTTGCATGCATCAGATGGATAACAAGCTTTGTTAAGATAATTCCAGACAAATAAGAAAACGTTAAATTCCAAATGCCAAGAAAATACAAAAAAGTACAGATTGTAACCATTCTATGTAAGTATTTCCACACTGTTCTAAGAAATCTGCATGGTTCTATTCATCTGGATGCCAGTGTTGATCTCAAATGCCATGGTGGTGCAATGGTTAGAATGCTGTACTGCAGGCTACTTCTGCTGACTGCTAGCTGACTGCAATTTGGCAGTTCAAATTTCACCAAGCTCAAGGTTGACTCAGCCTCTCATCCTTCCGAGGTGGGTAAAATGAGGACCCAGATTGTTGGGGAAAATATGCTGACTCTGTAAAACCACTTAGAGAGGGCTGTAAAGCACTGTAAAGTGGTATATAAGTGCTATTGCTATTACTATCTTTACCTTTAACTACCACTCACAGCTAGGTGGATCATTGGTCTGACTCTATAAAGTGAATTCAAATGTAAATTTGAATTTAAAATAACATGCATAAACATGTATAAAATATGCATAAATAATTTGGTTCTATTCCATATATTACTATTTAACTGGGAGCTGCCTAGATTAAGAGATGGGTGGCTATATAAATTGAAAATAAATAAATACATTGCTCTCTAAAGTATCACAAGATTCCTTTTTATTTTTACTGTAGAGATTAATATAATTAAGATAAAGGTTTCCCTTGCACATATGTGCTAGTCGTTTCCAGCTCTAGGGGGCGGTGCTCATATCCGTTACCAAGCTGAAGAGCCAGCACTGTCCAAAGATGGCATGACTAAACGCCGAAGGTACACAGAACACTGTTACCTTCCCACCAAAGTGGTCTCTATTTTTCTACTTGCATTTTTACATGCTTTTAAACTGCTAGGTTGGCAGAAGCTGGGACAAGTAACAGGAGCCCACTCTGTTACGTGGGGCTAGGGATTCGAACTGCCGACCTTTCTGATCGACAAGCTCAGCGTCTTAGCCACTGAGCCACTTCTCCTTAAATCAGTCAGTGCATCCAAACTCAGGCCAGTTACTCAGATATGCACATCTTTCAGTAGGCGGCATAACTATAATAAATATTGGGGTATGGAACCACTGATTGGTTCAAATCAAATAAAAGGGATCAAAGTCACCTGTGAGTCAGATAGATTTTTCTCCTCCAGCAACTCACCTTGTCGTCTCAGTTCTTCCTTGACAGCTTCTAACCCTCCTTGACCTTCAATAAAATCATAGATTATCTTTGAAGTCTTAGCGTCAGTCAACTGAGCATCACTGATTCCCGCCTTAGAGAAAAATGTCTTCAAATCAGGGTCCAGATTGTTCAACTGAAATAAAAATAGGTCAACATGTATTCGTGGGGCTGGTAGTTTAATAATAGCCTTTATAAGCTAAAAATGATTCAGGACAGGCATATATTACATGATGGTTTTGTGTCTGGAATAACTTGGCAAGAAGAGATAAGGCAATCCCAATCCAAACTGGAGCCCCGATTATTACCTCAAACCCTTGTAACCAAATGGTTCTAAAGCCTGAGTCATATTTAGCACATACATGCATACATACAACATGCAGCTTTTGCAGCCAAATGAGGCCAAAGAAATGAAGAGTACCAGCTGTAGTAAAGACTCCTTAACAGACCGAGGGAAATTCCTTAATATTAAAGAAAACTCTGGTTCACACTTGCCCTGCTGAACTGAGTATTTAGGAGAGCAGTTCCTCCTGTTAAGTTGTAAACCCGTCTTACTTTGTCTTCTTTTTCGCATCACTCTATCATGGTTGCACTGCAATTGGATCCAATTAAACCTTCAAACTGAATGTACATGCAGAAACTAAAAGAAAGTGCTTTGTGACTGCCACTGGGGTAAATTGGCAACTCACTTATAAAACAATTGGGCTGCAATAACTCAAAAGTTTAATTTCATACCCAAGAGACCCCCCAAAACTTCTAATCCTTTCTAATTGAACTGCCAAGGCTACGTACATCAAACCCACTGCTGGGATCCCATCCGATGTGCTGGATGTGCCTAAAAAAGAATAACAGAAGACATCCAGTTAGGTGAAGACCATCACTCTTGTTCTATCACACAGCTGGATTTGACTGATGTCATGGCCAGTGGAATAATTGGCAGAAAAGAGGCACTTAGTTGGTCATGTAAACTTGGAGACCGAGAGAAATTCAAAGTTTTTAGCTGCTCTGTGCTCAGCTGGCTTTTTGTCAGTCTGGAACCCCACCAAAGGGACTGAGAACTGAGGAAATCTACACAGCTTCAGAAGGACTCACTTAAATCCACAAGGAGCACCAATGTCAGCCTTGGAAATCTTCTTTTTCCCCTTCTTCTTATCTACTGCAGTTGGGACTGGGAGACCACGATAGCGGGAAAAAGTGATGTCAGGATTCTGTATATCAACAGTTGCCAGAGACAGTGGAGTGGGAGGGGAATTTGGCTGTGAGCAAGGTCCTAAAACACAAGATAAGGGTGAGATAATGATCAGCTTCCTTGCAACTACCATCACAACACCTGACAACTCACTAAAATCTTCCTTCCTTCCTTCCTTCCTTCCTTCCTTCCTTCCTTCCTTCCTTCCTTCCTTCCTTCCTTCCTTCCTTCCTTCCTTCCTTCCTTCCTCAACCTGACTATGTTATGGTTGTGGAATTTAAGCAAATGTAGGAGCTTTTATGTTTAAGCAGTGGTGGGATTCAAATAATTTAACAGCAGGTTCTCTGCCCTAATAACCGTTTTAAGAAAATTAAACAATCTGGCAGCGAAAATCCAGGAATGGGGGGGAAAAAACCCGCTCTCACATTTGGGGAAGGATTTTCGCTGCCAGACTGTTCAACTTTCTTTAAAGTTTACTTGATGCAGTATATGGATCCTTCTCATTCTGCATCAAATAAACTTTAAAGAAAGTTAAACAGTCTGGCAATGAAAATCCAGGAGCGGGGGGGGGGGGGGCTGTTTTTTTGAGATGCCAGACTAGCGTGCATTCACATGCCTCCAATTCCCTTACTTGCTGCAAAGCCAGATTGCAGCAAGCAAGGGATTGGAGGTATGTGAATGCATGTTAGTCTGGCCATTTCGAAGCTGGTTCACAGAACTCAACAAAAAATTAGGTATCAGTTCTGTCGAACCAGTGCGAATCATTTAAATCCCACCACTGGTTTTAAGCAAAAACGTATCTCACACGTTTTACTAAGCAATAGCATTCAGAACATACTGAACCCTCAGTCCCTTCTCTCATCGCCATTCTTCCTAAGGGTGCTGAAACTCCAATAATATCTGAAGATTCTTGGATTGCCTATGCTTATTGTATCTCTTTGGATATTTTCAAAGTGCTAAGAAGTTTTTTTACTAGAAATATTTTAAATGACTATTTTTCTTATTGTATACTTTTGAGTTTATTTTCTCATTCTACATCAATTTTTCCTGGCCTGATATCTTCCAGCTAACCTAAATTCAATTCCCATAGTCTCAACACATTTTAAGAATGCAAATTTAAGGAAAATTGTTTCATGGTTTTATGTTCTATCAATAGAACTTTACGATAAAAAGTACATGTGTCCTTAGAAGTCTGCAACCCAACTTTTACCAGGATGCTTACCATTCATATCAACTCCAGAAAGTGGGGACCGTGAGAAAGTTCCTTTTCTATCTAATAAAAGCAAAAAAGATTGGTCAGTAAATAGTTCAGTGTCAACCCTTCTAGCCAATTATTTGCATTGAGACAGCCTTGTCTAAAACAGGACCGGCTAAGAACTTCTCATAACCAGCGCTGCTGTCCACATGCTCTAACAATCAATCTTTCTAGGATCCCACTGTAATTACAGCAATGATTTTCCATTCTCTCTGCCAATGAGAGCAAACCATAGTAAGTACAACTTGCAGCTAAATTGTTATTATCAGAAATTCTGTCCAGCCTTCCTTCTGATGTTAAGGACTACTCTACTCCCAGCATTTTTAGCTGATACACATCAGGAAGGAGCTTGATTGTAAAAAGCAAATAATGAACAGATTGTGAAAAAATACAAAAGATACATACCACCATTCACTGGAGGGGGTGGCGGTGGCAATTGTCTGTTATCTATAAAACAGAAAAAAAAATAGAACATTGATAGTAAAATGTTTCATGCTCTTTCTCTCAACTTTCTAGAATGATTTGGCTGTCTGAAGATAGAGTACAGGGTTTGTTCCATTTAATTTGTGCACAGTTGGATTTCCTTGAGAAAAAAAAACAGGAGAATTTTGTCACAAGTCATTATCAAGGTCCTTGCTGCAAACCTGCCTAAGAGTCTGAACATTACATAGGAGTTCTGAGACAATGTAAATACATTTTATATTGAGCTGCGGTGGCGCAGTGGTTAGAATGCAGTACTGCAGGTTACTTCTGCTGACTGCCAGCTGACTGCAATTTGGCAGTTCAAATCTCACTAGGCTCAAGTTTGACTCAGCCTTCCCTACTTCCGAGGTCAGTAAAATGAGGACCAAATTGTTGGGGACAATACACTGACTCTGTAAACCGCTTAGAGAGGACTGTGAAGCTCTGTGAAGTGGTATATAAGTCTAAGTGCTATTGCTATTTTCAGTGATACCTGCCTAGTCCTTGAAAATCAGAAACATCTTTAGGCTGAGTGAGGTCTTCACAACATTTAGCTCAGTGAAAAGTTCTCAACAGCATCATCTTACTAATAAAGGGCTCAATTTATTTTTTTTGTCCAGGTTGGAAGACAGGCCCTACATCCTCATCCCACCTCCTAAATAAGGTATCAGTGAAAGAGGACAATGATCTTAAATTTGCCAAGAGTATCAACGATGGAGGGAAGTGAGAAGTTTTTTCTTCCTTCTTAATTTGAATGACTTGGATGATCTGAAGGTTAAGAAGAAATCACTTTAGGATTAAATCTGTTATGAATCCTAATATTACAAAACAACCATGTGAGGTAAAGAGTCCAAATGTATATTTTTCTGGAGGCAAAACAAGCATATTTCTGCAGAGACATTAGCCTAAATGTCAGAATTATTCTGCAGAAAAAAGTTTGAGGCTATGAACAGCCCGCATTGCATTTGCATTCCCAATAAAGGGAAGCATTTTCTTCATTGTAATTTCTGTCCACTCTCTCTTTTTAACAATGCATTTGGAATGCTCCAGGACCAAAAGCACCTAAGCTTTCTTTTCTTTTCTTTTTTAATGGAATAGTATCTAATGATCCATTTTTCTTCTGTAAATTCTAGGCTCTGAAAAGACCCATACTCAAAGTAATATTTTTCCAGAAAAACAACTCCTTACTTGCAATAATTTCTAAGATGCAACTGGGTCTCTCACCAAAGTAATCTTTTGAAGGGGACAAATATTTCCTGAAGAAATGGGATTCAGACAAAAAGCATTCCCAGGAGCTACATCGCCTGGCAGGGACCTCCCACCCAGAGATGGGATTCAGCCGGTTTGGACCAGTTCAGGCGAACCAGTTGTTAAAATTCTGCCCAGTTCGGCAAACTGACTAATCCCACCATTGGCTGTCCCCGCCCCTGCCCATTTTTCAGGCCGTTTTCAGCCATTTTCCAGACAGTTTTCAGCAGTTTTCCAGGCCATTCTCCGGGCCGTTTTCAGCTGTTTCTCAGGTGAAAAATTGTTTTAAAAAATGGCCCGAAAACAGTCAAAAAACAGGTCAAAAAAAGAAGGAAGGAAGGAAGGAAAGAAGGAAGGAAGGAGATGGGAATGAGGAGAAAGAAGGAGGGAAAGAAGGAAGGAGAGAAGGAAGGAAGGGGTTAATCCAGCTTTAGCTTAGCCTTTTTCAGAATTGCCTGCACAGAAAGGTTCTTCTTCTGCTATTTATTTATTATTTTTGAGGTGCAAATTGGCTTTAATTGTAAATTGCTTCTGAGGAGCCAATGGGATTTATTTCACACCTCAAGGTGTGAAATGTTGGCTGTTATGACACAATATACTGCTTTTTAATAAGCTCAGCCTGCAATGTCTTAGTTTTCTTGGTAATGGGAGCAGAATGCTTTGCTGGTCTCTTCCCATCCTTTCACGGGGGGGGGGGGGGGGGCATCTGCAAGACCTGGGGAAAGGGAGAGTGGCCAGGAGGCCGGGCTGGGTGTGATGAGTGACCTTGAGTTGGCTATGCCTACCCAGTCACATGACCACCTGGCCACACCTACTCAGCCAGTCATTAGGGCAGAGAACTGTTTGTTAAATTATTTGAATCCCACCACTGCTCCCACCTACCCCTCTGGTTCCTCTTCTGAATCTTCTCTTCCACCATTTGTTGAAAAGATTGTGCCTCTTGCTCATCAGCAAAGTTTAGTCCCACGCTGCACTCCTGCAAGCATATGTAGCACAACATCCACGCGATCAGGCATCATACTCAATCACAATTCTGCAAATCCTCCCTGAGACATTTCTAGATAGGGATTTAGATATACGTTTTTAAAACAAGTATTGGAAAAAAAAATCTGTTTAAAGCAAGCATTAAAAAGATTTAATTTTAAAACAGCTGTATAGATCTATTTTCTTCTGTATAATCTTTCAATATTGGAAAGACAAATTCATGGCTCCGATTATTTAGTGGATTGAAGACCTGATGTTATGACTGAGTTGCTTATAGATGTAAATTATGTATGGATGATTACGATGAAATGTGGTAATCTTTTATTGAAACTCTTAGCTAATATTTCATTTAGATATGAAATTACGTATCCACACAAACATTCTTCCTGGAAGAAGATAAAACTTTTATGTTTAATTATTATTGTTGCTGTTGTTCATTGCTTTCTTTTTGTCTTATTTTCTTTGTTCTGTTTTAGCTGATCTACAAAGTTTTAACAAAATACTCTACTCAGATAATATCTTTGTAAAGTATTGCGTTTGGGGCTGCAAAAGCAGACTTTGATTTCTAAAAGCATGAATGCTTCTCTTCTAGATTTTTCTCTTCCACAGAGTCATATGTCAGTCTGACCACGTATGTTCATAGTGATTCACCCACCCATATTCAAGTACTTACATCTCCAAAAAAGGTGTGGAAAAAGGTGGTGGGAGCAACATAGACCATCTGGTTATACAACTCTTGCTCCCAGATCATCTTCTTCTGCTGCATCAAAACAAAATAATAGACAAAGATGCTTTATTAATTCACAGACTGCTTTTCCCTACTTAAAACTATGTCAAAAAGATGAAGTATCCTTCAAGTCAATCTAAACTCCAGTTCACAACCAACCCTATTTTTTTTTTAGCAATAATATATATAGCAGTGGTTTGTCATGTCTTTTCACTTGGATTCCACACACACACACACCCGCCCGATTCCACTTAGACTACAGTTCTGGAATTCCCTGGTGATTTCCCATTCAAGTATAATCAGTTCTGAGTAGAAATAATTTCAATCTGGGTGTATTTGTGTGAGATGTCAGTGAAGGCAGGCATAATTTGCAACCAACAATGATGGTTCTCTGTTGCCCTACTACTGAATGTGAAATGAGACACAAGGAGGGCAATTCCATTTGGTCTTCAGATGTTTAAAGGACAAAAAAAATTAATAGATAAGGTGAACTCAGTTTCTTTGTCTCCCAATTTTGTGGCCTGTATCTGGAAGAATGTTTCTTGCAGTCCACCTCTGATGCCTGATTGATGCTATTGGGAATGGTGCTAAATGCTTTCAATTTCAACTATGTAGAGGTGGGAATGAATCATATCTCCTTACCCAAATACATATTTTGATGTACACATTAATGCACACATCTGAGATATGATGAGCAAGCCAGATGCATGGTTGTTGTGGGTATTAGTCCAAAAGATGCTACCCCAAAGAGATCTCATAAACATTTTTTTAAAAAATGTAATTCATGAGGTTTCAGCATTCAGGCAAGATCTTGAGAAATGCAAGATTTCAGTGATCTGATCTTACTGAATCTCAGGAGATTCGATAACAGGGATGCTGGGTTCTATATGTGTTTACACCAGAGACAGGTCTAGATCAAGGTGTATGTGAAAGGATGTTCTGCTCAAATCTCTTAAGAGAATGAGTCAAAGGAACTGAGAGCAGTTGTTTTGTTTTTGCCCCTAGACAATAATGGTCCGGAAAGCAGAATAAACAGTATGGTAGGGCATAAATTAGACCATCTAGGCCTTCCTATGGAGAGATGTATTGTGTTGCGTTGCATTGCATTGCATTGCATTGTACTAATTATTTCTAACTGCACATTATATACATTCATTAGCACATAAAATTAGTTATTCAACCAGGTATTCTCCTTTAATTAGGTATTCCCAGAATAATTTGTCAACTGGCAAGCTGAACAAAATGCACCAGCCAAATATGATAGCTTGTCAAGAAGTTGTTTTTACTTCCTGCTCAGATTGGCAGAGGAAAATGCATTCTGTTGCCTGACTTAGAAGCATCAGATTGTTTCAATCACTTTCTAATAATCCCTACTGGATATTACTTGATTTAGTGTAAATCTGAGGACTAGCAGAAAACAGCAAGAAAACAATGCAAATGAAAGCATGGCTTTTGATTTTCATCCTGTCTAAACAAGAATATGCTGGTTGAGAATTCTAGTAATAAAACATCTGGAGAATAGATTTTGGGGAACATCATTCCATTGAATGAACAATAGATATGTATCTTTGGTCAGTGAGGTGCAGGGAAGTTATCACAAATGGAGTAAAAAAAGTTGATACCTTAAGATCAAACAAGCGGATGAAGTAGGAACGTTTAGGAACATCCTTTACGAAACACAGCACTCCAGAACTCTGCTTGAACCAGTTTCTGCTGCTTTGAGGCAAAGCCAGAAAGAGTTGGACCACTGTTGTGACCATGGTCTATCAGAAGAGGGAAAGTTACAAATTAATCATCCAATTGGGTCAAAAATGACACATACCTGGGGATTTAGTCTCTTCAAACAGATATAATTGTCAAGGAAATGTTAATTGGGAGAACATGACTCAGTCACAAGTATGATGAATTTCACATAACAGAAACTCTACAATGTGCAGCAACATATATTACAAGGGAATAACGCAGGGGGAAGTTTAAGTAAAGTTCAGAAAATAATTGCTCTATTCCAGTATTTCCTAGCCTTGGCAACTTTAAGATATGTTGATTTAAACTTCCAAAATTCTATAGCCAGCATGCTGATGGAGGAATGCTGGGTGTTGAAATTGATGCTCTTAAACTGGTCAAGGATGAGAAAAATTGTTCTACATCAATGGCAAAATAAGAAACACTGGTTGATTTGGATACAAAATCCAATTCATCACACATTAATTCTTTTTGCTTATAGCAGGAAGCAAATTGGATGGATGGATGGATGGATGGATGGATGGATGGATGGATGGATGG